TTGTTTGGCGGGCCCGGGCTGGGGATTCGAACCCGCCACCTTAGGTGTACGTGGCTGGCGCCTTAGCTGGTTGAGCTATAGGCGCCGAGCCCTTTATAGAAGATTTTAATGAAAACTGTATTGAGACACCTTACCCAAGTTATAGGAAAGGCTAGCCAGTGACTCACAGGAGTATTCCAGAATGATGAAGAAAGACTTTTCTAGAAGGAAAGTGTATGAATTTGCTCAAGGGGAAAGGGAAGTCACTAAGTAGAAGCATAATTACCAGCCAACTGTCTTAAGTCAGCAGACTTCTTTGATGAATTTAGATGAGAAAATAGATGAGGTATGTGACTGTAGTATACCCCTGTATTGTTTTTTAGGATGCTAATAAGTTGAACTATATTAGGTGATAACCTAAATATCTAAGTTTCAGTGTAATTTGTTTTGCTTAGAAGAAAGCTAGTAGGTTTTACGTTCAGAATAGCAAACTTCTTTGTCTAGAATCTGTTTAGAAAATATTAACAGATTCTTTTCCTGCAGGTTGAATAGGAAAAAAAATTTTTTAAAAGAAAATACTAGCACAGAAAGAATTTGTAAGAATACTTCAAATTACCTTAGAAAATATGTTCTCTCATGAAATGATAAGCTGAGTGTACTTAGTATAGAATTTACTGGAAATGGTCTAACCCAAGGACTTTGGGTTGTCTAAAGCTAGAAAATAGTACCTTTTTGTATTTATATGGAGGAATGCTGTGGGTTTGAGAGGTAACTGGAATGTGCCAGTTAACTCTTTACAGGAGCATTGTTTACAATGAGGCAGATGAGAAACTAGATTAGCAGAACCTAACAAAAATAAATTTGTGTCTGAATGGTGGGGTAGAGTAAGTATAAAGTTTATCTTTGAGGCAATAAGAGAAAGAAATAAGTGTTTTTTTTGTATACCGTACAACCAGATCTAATGCTTCTCTTTTTCCATTTCCTCCCTCAGAGGACAAAACTGCCAAAGCCAAGGTCCAGCAGGCTCCTGACAGATCCCAGCAGATTCCAGATGGCACACAACTTCCGTCTGGACACCCTTTGCCTGCCAAAAGCCAGGGCACTGCGAGCAAATGCCCTTTTTTGGCAGCACAGATGAGCCAGAGCGGTAGCAGTGTCTTCTGCAAAGCCAGTCTTGAGCTTCAGGAAGATGTGCAGGAAATGCATGCTGTGAGGAAAGGTAACAGATGAGACGGGAACCATTAGGAAGAGTGAAGAGGTCCTTTTGGCATTTTTGGACCCTCAGATTTGTGTATGAGCTATTATTAGGGCAGTATTTATGGAAACACATTCCTCTTTTAAAAGGTCCCGTAGACAAAAAAAAAAAAAAATCAATAAAAAGGTCCTGTAAACAAAGGACTGTATTGCAAAATGTGGGACTTTTCTTTCTGGTGAACATGTAGGATGTGACCAGCTTTTATAGTAACTGCTTAATTTCTAAAAATAACCAGCAGTCTTTTTTTTTCTTTGGAGAAGGAGTCTCACTATGTCACCCTTGGCAGCGTGCAGTGGCATCATAGCTCATGGTAATCTCCAATCTCCAACTCTTGGGCTTAAGAGATTCTCTTGCCTCAGCCTCCCAAGTAGCTGGGACTACAGGCACCCACCACAACGCTGGCCTATTTTTTGTTGCAGTTGTCGTTGTTTTAGCTGGCTTGGGCCAGGTTCAAAGCCACCATATGGCTGGTGCTGTAACTACTGTGCTACAGGCTCTGAGCCTTTTTTTTTTTTTTTTTTTTTTTTTTTGAGACAGAGTCTCATTCGATTGCCCTGGGTTGAGTGCCATGATGTTTTGTCATAGCTCACAGCAACCTCAAATTCTTGGGCTTAAACAATCTTCTTGCTCAGCTTCCCAGGTAGGTGCTCACCACTATGCACAGCTAGTTTTTCTATTTATTCATTTATTTATTTTTGGAGACAGAGCCTCAAGCTGTCACCCTGGGTAGAGTGCGGTGGCATCACAGCTCACAGCAGCCCCCAACTCCTGGGCTCAAGCGATTCTCTTGCCTCTACCTCCCAAGGAGCTGGGACTACAGGCGCCCGCCACAACCCCTGGTTATTTTTTGGTTGCTGCCATCATTGTTTTTGACGGGCCCAGGCTGGATTTG